AAATTCCTTTACTTCTAGGGATAATTAACCTATTGGAAAAATATTAAGGTTCTTTGATGATAAAAATGGAGTTATGTAGTCACCTTAGCCAAGAGGCCTACATAAGAATGCAATCTAGTCGCTTTAGGCAGTTTAGTTTGTAGGCAGATTAATTTTTGTGATCCTTCATGTTTATGCTTTCATTATTTTTGTGATAAGGATTTATATAATATCTTTAATAAAAAAGATTTTTCTTTATTGGTTTTAGAGAGAAACATTGATGAGAGAGAACATTGGCCACCTCCTGCATGCTCCCCCTGGGGATTTGGTCCATAACCTGGGCACACGCCCTGACCGAGAATGAACCGGTGACCTCTTGGTGCATGGGTCGATGCTATACCAGTGAGCCACACCGGCCGGGCCATCTTCAATAATTTTTAACTTCTGTTTGTTATTTGTTTTTTAACTTCTGTTTGTTATTTGTTTTCTTTATTAAAAGCTAAACATTAGTTCTAATAACAAGACATTTATTTACAACCTACACAATTGTTTAAGTCAGATGTCTACAACTGTCCTATATTCTTCCCTTTTTGTTCTCTCCTATCCCTGGTCTATTAGAAAGTCTATGTTTTCTACTTCTAGAATTTATCTGCTCAGTCTTTCATCTCTGCTGCTACCAACCCAGTTCAAGTCACCTCTTTCCTGGACTATTGAAATAGCTAATTAGCTAATATCACTTCCACTCGGACACTGATAGAATCAGTTTTGCCCACAGAAGTATATAATCTTTTAAAATTGGAATTCCGATTATGCTAACCTTCTCTTTGTACCTGTACAAGCCAGACTCCTTATCATGGCAATCAGGCCTGGCCTAGCTTTCCAGTTTTATATCATACTGCACTGTTTTTCTCACCAGCCATAGTGGCCTTGTTCTTTTTTTAATGAAGCTCTTCCTCATCTCCAGGTCTTTGCACTCTCTAACCTATACTTGTCAGCTCTCCTTGGTGGACTCTTGATCCTTCGGGTCACCTTAAATAGTAGAAGAAGCTTTTCTGAGGAAACGTAAGCACAATACTTACTAAATTTTGTAAAAGTGAGAATTTGGGGCCATCTGTATCTCATTAACTAGATCATATTCTTTGGAAACAGTATATTTTTAATAAGCCTCCTAGGTGATTCCGATGGTAGTGGTCAGTGGTTGCTTTTTGATCAGACGAGATCGGGCGCGCTCAGGGTGGTATGGCCGTAGACGGTGGTTGCTTTTTGAGAACAGGTATAGGGCTCTTACACAGATTCTCTGCCAGCCACTCGCCCACGTCAGAGCCGGAGCTCCTGCCCTCTAGTGGTCAGGCGGAGGAGAGTCCTTGACAGTATTTTACGAAAGCATCGGAATGACCTGTAAACAGGTCTCTGGGAGTCAGAAACTGGGCCTTGTTCTTGTTTTTATTCTGTTCCCCATTAGCTTATTTAATTCTTACAACCATATTGTGAAGTCAGAATAATAGGAATAGTACTTTAACCATAGAACAAGCTCTGGCTTGTGTCACCCCTACTTGAAATCCTTCACTGACCTTCCGTACCAGCCAGTGTAACATCCAGATCCTTCTCCAGCCTGACATAAGTCTTACTGTATTAACTGCCTGTCCCCTGAACATTGGAATTTAGATCTTGCTTCAGGAGACAGTGGTTCCTAGAATTGCCAAGGTTTGACTATAACCTGACTATATTATAACATCTAGATATTATATTTTATAATGTCACACTATATTATTTATATTTTATAATATGTATTGTAATTTACAATAGCATCTAAAAAACCTCTAATATTTTTTAATAATGAGGTGAAATAACTGAAAATATATGCAGAAATTTATATACCAAAAGCCATGGACATAGAAAACTAAAGGTAAATGTTGGTGTAGTGCATGTTAAAACATATCTGAGAATTCTGTTTTTATTGACAAGATTATTGTTATTCTAGAGGTAGATAGTATGAGGTTATCCTATTATTATCAGACTTCCATTTAGCACTTGCTTTGCCTACCAAATTTTATTTTGAATACAAACTTATGTGTATGTGAAATTTACCGCTCTACATTCAGAGGCCTTAATGACAAAATTTTCCAGTTTGACATCCATCGTAGTTCTGCTGGTGGATAGAAACTGGAGCAGTCAAACTGACAGAAGTGCTTTAGCCCATGTGATGGTTACAGTTCATGTCATAAACTAACAACTTGACTTTATTGGAGAGTTATGGCCCTGCTGTGGTACCTGGGTCTGTCTGTGCCAACGGGATCAGGGGGCCTGCATGGCTGGGGGCAGATTCTTGGCAGTAGGACATTCTCAGAGCCACTGCCATGTGAGGCCTCTTTGGAAACTCCCTTCCTAGCCTCCTTCCAATTTCATTTCCTTTTCTTCTGATTTTTCTTGTTTTTATTTAAAATTTTTAAGAAGTTGTGTATTATTGGTGCAGGAGAGGTGGTGGTGATGGTACGGGAGATGAGCTCCCTGCTGACCGGAGTGGGGACCGGAGTGGCAGCAGCTCGGTTGTAATCTGGGGCAAGCCCGGGGTCGAACTGGCATACTGGGTTCCCAAGCGCTGTGCAGTCAGAAGACACACGATGCAAAGTACAGCAATGGGGTAAATTTGTTATGTGACCACAGTGGAAAGACACGGGTGTTGTGAGGCATTTCTAGATGTAAAACAAGGAACCAGATCTTAGTCAAATGAAGAGAACATAGGCCCAAACTGATGAAAATTAAGGAATTCCATTTTTAGAGGCAGCCATGAGAGTGGGTGACGAGTGTGGTAACTGCATTTTAAATCACAGAATCAGTCCCTGGCTCGGATTGTTGGTCCACAGTACTCCAAACTAAAGCCAGGATGAGGATAATGGAGTCACACACCTTCACTTTAAGAACAGGTCCCAGAAACTGCATCTATGTTACTATCTATGTTAATCCCATTGCTTAAATTAAAACAGCCACACGAAGACATTTGCCAACAAGGCTGGGAATTGTATTTATTCTATATGCCTGTATTTCCAGCTAAAAAGCAAGGGTTCTATTAAAGATAAGGGGAAAATGGACATTAGGGTACTATTAGCCATATATGCCATTCAAGCTGGTTCAGAATTCATACGCAAAGTAACCAAGAAAAATGATAAACAATGAAGAAAATTTGGCTACATTTCTTATTAGAAACAAAAGTACAACAATGTATCAAGAAATAAATAGATCAATGAAATATTGAAGGTACAGACTCATAATATGTAGGTATATAGCACTTGATAAAAGATAGTTTTAATCATGGGTAGCCTGTGAAGGATTTGGAGACAGAATAGCCACACTGGGGTACATGCCTATGTCACACTGTACACAAAAATAAATTTCAAGTGGATTGAAGAGAAAGGTTTAGCCTGGCCAGAGTGGCTCAGATGGTTGAGCATCGTCCTGTGCACCGAAATGTGGTTTTGATTCCTGGTCGGGGCACATACCTGGGTTGTGGATTCAGTTCCCGGCCAGAGGCAACTGATTGATGTTCCTCCCTCTTTTCTGTCCCTCTCTAATCATGTCCTTGGGTGAGGATTCAAGAATGAATGAATGAGTAAAATAAAGGGCAGTATTTCTTTAAAAAATAAAGACAACAGTTAAAAAAAAAAAACCCACCAAACTACATAAGTGCTAATATGTAGAAAAATTATAATTTAGGGGTGCAGGTTTTTCTAAGCAAGAAATAAACCACAGAATCAGACATAAGGAAAAATATGGACAAGCTTGGTACATGAAAGGACGGTAGGGAGAGAGCCTGAACACAGTTGGGAATGGAGTACCAGAAGGGAGAAGACGTTGTAGTACGTATACATGAGACCAAAGATCACATCAATAAAGAGCTTCCGCATACCAATGATTACATTGATAAATATTCAAAGATTTATAATAGCCACTTTGGGTGAGAAAAATAGGCCCTCTACCAGATGGTTAATAGCTGAATAAATGGTTTTATCTTATTTGGAAGGCAATTTGGAAGTAACTAGCAAAATTTAAAATGCACATACTATTTGATCCCACCTATAAATAGCTATTCAGTTACCTGAAGTCACAAATCCCTGAAGTACATACACATGAATGCAAAGATAACATTTCACCTAATCTAAAATGTATGGAGGCTAATGCTTTTTCACTATTACCAGAAGGTGTCAAAGATTTGTACATCACAAATACCACCTGGCTGACATGATGGTAAAATGCCATTGAGTCTAAGATGCACTCCAACCCAGAGATAATAAAACATTGGAGGTGTGGGGAAAGCGTGTCTAAGAATTGCCAAAATGGTGCATCTGCAAGTGTGGTCTTTGCAGCATGATGTGTAATAATGAGAAATTGGAAACAGCCTAAATATTCAGTCATACGGAGAGTAACTAAATAATGTACAGTCATAACAATTGAACATTCGAGCCATTAGAAAGATTGAGGGAGGTCTGTGTGCTTTGACGTGGAGATAGCTCAGCTACCCTGAAGAGGAAGAAAACCTACTTGCAGTATAATGTACACATTCGAGTTTTACTTAGGGAAATTATATATTTAAATGTATAAATTCCAAACTATTTGTATAGAAATGCATAAGTTAAAATAATACAGGGATGGGCAAAAGTAGGTTTCCAGTTGTAATACAAATAAATAATACAATAATTAATATAGGAATATGCTGTTTCACATACAACTGTAAACCTACTTTTGCCCACCCATATATTTATACAAAATAAGTGAAAGGAATAGTGTTTACCTGTGATGAGGGAAGTTGCATTGGGAAAGTGATGACTTTTTAAACTTAAACTTTCTGTTTTTTAATTTTCAAACAAAGATATAACCATGTTTATAATGTAAATATTTAAAAAGAATCTAGAAAATACAAAGAATAAAATACAAACACCTAGAATCCAGCCACCCAGATATTAACATTACTAACAGTTTTTGTGTATTTCCTTCCCGACCATATTTCTCTGCCACTAGGTAGATGTTGATACTGTTCCTTGAGCTAGGAGAAGCAGCAGGGGAGCCAGTTTTGGGGAAGATGGGGGCATCCCTCTGGGGGCATCCACCCTAAGTTGGTATTGCCTGTGGGACAGGAAGATGGTGACACCAAGTAAGCAATGGGATATGGGGGTAAGGGGCTTAGGGGCACTCGTGATTGACTTACTGTATTAATGCTTTCTCTTTCAAGTGGTGGATTTGAATATTCATGTGTCTGACACAAATAGAAATGTAATTCCTTGTGGCAGCTCAGTGTAGTGTGGATTTTTAGCCTTGGAATTCAACAGATCTTGTTTCCCTGCTGTTCCCAACCACCTATCCCAGCTGTAGGACTTTCTAGGTTTCTCCAGCTTGGGAAAAACATTTAAGAAAAGCTTATTTTGCCTGGCCAGTGTGGCTAGTGGATTGAGCATCAGTCCCATGGACTGAGAGGTCCCGGTCGATTCCCGGTCAGGGCACATGCCTGGGATTCAGGTCCATCCCCAGTAGTGGGCGTGCAGGTGGCACCGATCCATGTTTCTCTTTCACATCATTGTTTCTATCTTTCCCTTCCTCTCTCTCTAAAACACTAATAAAAACATTTTTTTTTTATAAAAAAGAAAAGCCTGTTTTCTCATCTATACAATGAAGATCATGTTATCTTCCTTGCATGTTATGTTATGAAAATTGAGTGTAAGTGAACACCTAGCTCAGTCTGAAGTGAGTACTCTCAAAATTTTCCAGTTTTCCTACTGTCACCTAAATACTAGAGCTAATTTATTTATTTTTAATTAGCAATAAAAGAGAAAAGAAAGTATTGGCTTGATAAATCATTATGTAAAATTAATACAGAAATTAAGGTTTTATTCCAAATTCATTTTAACCTATTTTTGATCTTTCGTAACTTGTTCTGTAGATTACATTACAGCTACTCATTTCTCTGTAAGGTTTGCGCAGGACTTGGTCAAAATGAACATCACAACCTGATAATGGAAAGAAAATAATTTACAAATGTCTCATCTAATAGAACCATTATAGCTATTCCCAATAACTTTTCTCTTTGGTATTGGAGACGCTCAACTGACAAGGGTATCAATAATGTTTGAGCTCCAGCCTCAGTCCCCACAAAGAGTTAAATAGCTCTCCTCAAATGGGATTTGAATTGCTTGTCAGCACCGAGGTCACTGTCACTGTTAAATGACAGATGTTTTTCTGAAAATCCCTTGTATCTCTTCCTGTGATAGGAAGTTCGGTGCTGGCAACAACAGGGTGGTGTTCTTTAATAACTGTGAAATTTATTCTTTAGAGAGTTTACAAAGATGTCCTATTGCTCCTGGAGGACTCCCTCGACACCCCTGTATGCATTTTCTTTTTGCATAATGCCTACAGTTGAGAGCCCCTAGGCTCCCTGTTGTATTGCTCCTGTATACTTGGTTCAGTATAACCAAAATACTCATAAATCTCCTCTTCTTCCCATAGCTTCAGCAGCAGCTGGGGTATGACAGCGACGTCCCTGATCTATAATTCCAGACAGCTCCAGGGTGAACGGATAGACCAATCCAAAGCGACCACGTCAGATAAAGTGGTGGTGTTTGCACAGCTCAGTGTCCTCAAGAGGTATTCCTGTAATACCCCCAATTTGTATTCTGCATAAAACTCCTTTTACAAGTTATAAACTTCCTATAGGGAACAAACGTATCCAGCTAAAAGATGCTGAACATATGACTGCAATGTAATTTTAAACTCAGAAGGAATCGTCTAAGCCTTTTCCATCCTAGAAGCCGAAAGCTATAATAGAACCCAAGATTTCTTTTTAAGTATAACATTCTCAAATTTGAAATTCTAATCAGGCCATGTTTTCCTGAGACCCTGGGTTTGCTAGGCAATGATAGTGCTATGACAGATTAATATAAATATTTGAACTGTATATATCATGAGATTTAAGTACTCTACTCATATTTATCACAAATTGATTTATTATTTGTACTTTATTGATTAACAGTTGAGGCAGCTAATTGAATGATTTTTTTTACCACATTAATTGTATTAGAGAAACTGACTAAATGATGTATTTGTGTTTTCATTTGCATGGTCCTTCCAAATGCTTCTCTTGGCCTAGATCAGGGATTCTCAGTCTTGGCACTGTTTATATTTTGGACTGGATCAGTTGTTGTGGAGCCTGTCCTGTGCATTACAGGATGTTTAGCAACATCTCTGTTCTCTGCTTAATATGTCCCAGTAGCATACCCCAGTCATGACAATCATCGACGGATGTCCCCTGGGAGGCAAAATGCTGCCCCAGTTGAGTATCACTGGTCTACATACATTAAAAGTAGTTGGGTGTGGAATTTGAACTCTAAATGATCTGCTTGATGGTACTGGGATTTTAAAAAAAGCCACCTTAGATTCAGCTCTTCTAGAAAGTCTTTCTGGGTATCCTTGATCCTTTCTTCCTCTACATATAAACAAACCATGCTATAGATTCTCTTTCTTCACTCTGGGCTGTAGGCCTCTGCTTTCCAGAAGGAATTTTTTCCCGTTTTCTCCGACCTCTAGCTAGCACTGGGCATGGCAGGAGATGCTCAAAATATGAACTGGTTGGAAGAATGAGTGTTACCAGTTATTTTTCTCTTGAATACATATGTCTATAAATACAGACCTTTATTTATTTATTTATTTATTTATTTAATTTCTTTACTGATTTTAGAGAGAGAGAAAGGGAGAGGGAGAGAGAGAGAAACATCGATGAGAGAGAACATTGATTGGCCGCCTCCTGCATGTCCGCCACTGGTGATTTAGCCCACAACCTGGGCATGTGCCCTATCCAGGAATCGAACTGGTGACCTCCTGGTGCATGGGTCGATGCTCAACCACTGAGCCACACCAGCCAGGCTATAAATACAGACCTTAAAAAAAAACAAACAGATGTGTCCAGCTATTTTATTTTGCTTTGTGTTATCTCTTTAATTTTTGTAAGCCTGTGAGACTTTATTTTCATGATGCATTATTTATCCACCTAATATAACTTGAGTGCTTACTATGGGCCAGACACTCATGCTAGGAGCCGAAAATGCAGTTATGAACAAAATGGACAGAGCCCTAGGAGTCTTACAGATGATTTACAAGCAGTTCCAGCTCAGGAATGACCCAGTTACTTAGGCCTGTGTGACAGTGCCGGTTTCCAAACAAACCAAAGTCACACAGGGCCAAGGAGCCACCTCTGGATGCACGGCACCTACCACCGTGTCCTGTGGACGTCAGGGCAACCTCTGCTTTCCGAGAGCCTGCTGCTTTCTCCCAGCTTTCCCCACCCTCCGAAACAGCAAGGAGGAAATGCGATCAGTGGTGGGATTCTGCCGGGCAGTGAGGAGGAGGCCACGCTCCCTCCTCAGCTGGTCTCCGAAGCGCCTGCCAGGAACCCGGAGGAGGCATTCTCAGAAAGCTCAAGATTTTGAGTGAGAAAAACGATGCTGACAGCATCCTTTCTGTAGTTGCAAATGTATCCCCAAGTTTCGTTAGGATTAATCACTTGTTTGTGGGTACTGACTGGATATGGTAACAAAAATAGCTGATTCCTGTACCTTCTCCCTAAGTTCCCCCTGAAAAGCGCCCCCCCCCCCACTCCGACTTTCCACATACACCAGGGAGTGTCCCACATGTGTTCATGAATATTTGCTCATACTACACGCAGTCATTGCCAGGTACTGAGGTCCCTCTGTATGTGACATCTCTCAAACTTCGTTTGAATCTACGTTGGGTACCACGCCAGCAATACCATTGCGATCCTGCAAAGGACATTCTGATCTCATCTCCTACCTGACTTACTCCTGCCCCAGGTACACCTGCCTCCTTCCTGCTCTGCTGACACACCCACCTGCTTCTCACGCTGCCGCTTTCTCTGCAGCAACACCCTTGTCCCGAACCATTGCACGACGGGTCCTTTTCGTCACTCAGCGAGGTTCAACCTTCCTTAGAGAGGACTCTATCCCCTAACCCTGTCTCCACTCACTACATCTAAAATCATTTTTATTTGCTTATCACCTGTCCCCTTCACCAGGACGGAAGCCCCCCAAGAACTGGAAGTTTTTCTTTTAATTCAGCACTGGATCCTTGGCACTGGGAATGGTGGCAGGCACTCAGCGCGTGTTGCCACAACTATGTTACCACAAACGCAGCCATCTTCGTGGGTGAGCGGAGAGATGGGGCAAATGGGAAAGAATATCTCATCCTCATTTGTATTAGGATTTGTATTGGAATAAGGTTTCTCAACTTTGGCACCAATGACATTTTGGACCGGATACATTGTTTGTGGTGGGGGCATCCTGGGCTTTGGAGGATGTCGGGCAGCATTCCTGTTCTCTGTCCACCAGGTGTCAGTAACGTGCCTCCCCAATTTAAGAACCAAAAGTGAGTCCAGACGTTGCCAAATGTTTGCCTGGGAGCAAAATCTCCCCTGGTTGATAAACTATCAGAAGATCCAAAGCAGGGAAACTTGTGCATCTGTGTCTTATAGAAACTTTTTGGAGATATAGTTCGTTTCAGTTGTTTTTATAATAATGCTGCATGATCTACCCTAAACTCAGGCACACGACTGTATACATATGTATGTTTGTTTTTCTCTCTCTGGTGCCTGTAGTTTGGCTGGGCTGGGTTGATCTTGGTGGGCTCAGCTACTTTTGGCTTCAAGCTGCAGATTGGATCCAGGTCTGTTTCAAATATCTTGCCTTCTCCTTGGGTCAGTGGCTATCCGAGTCACGTTCATGGTGAAAAAAAAATGTGCAAAAAGGCAATACAGTCATTCTGGCCTATTTCAAGCTTCTGCTTTTGTTATATTCTCAAATGTATCATGACTAAAGCAAGACACATGGCCACGATGAAAGTCAAAGGGCAGGGAGATACACCACCTACAGTGGAAGGTGGAAGGGATTACATATTTATTTGCTGAATGGTAATCCAAACAATTACACAGATCTTTCAGTTTTAAATCTCAGTTCTCTTTTTAGACATAAAACCAATAGAGGGTAGAGCAGGAGACATATCTGAGTGAGAATCACTCTGAAATCTTCCTTGACAATTAAGATTTTCTTTTTTTATATTTTTAGTTTATTGATTTTAGAGAGAGAGGAAGGGAGAGGGAGAGACAAAAACATCAATGAGAGAGAACATCAACTGGCTGCCTCCTGCATGCCCCCCACTAGGGACTAGGCCCACAACCTGGGCATGTGCCCTGACTGGGAATCAAACCAGTGACCCCTTGGTGCATAGGTCAGTGCTCAACCACTGAGCCCCACCAGCCAGGCAAATGAAGGTTTTCTTAATGGGTCCTTCTAGCTTTTCCCCAGACTCCTCACACCCTGGTTCACACAGCTGGTAAATAGCAGAGCTAAGCTTCAGCCTAGTTCTATCTGATTCCAAAGCTTGTGCACTTAACTGTTATGGGTAGACTTTAAGTGAAGAAGAGTTTTAAAATCATGGAGCTCATAGAATTTCTTAGACTTTCTAACTTAATCAGCTACTTGAGCTTGGGAAGTGAGCAATCTGAAATTCAGCTATCTAACAACATTTCCCACTTTTATTAAATTATTCAAATACTTATTGAATAACGTACAAGGTACTCGGCTAGGTACTATGTGTGAGAGAGGCATAAACAGTGAGTGAAACATTGAAACACTGATACTAGACTTATGAAACGTTCAGTCTAGACGGAAAAGTAAATATGCATAGAAAGAGAATACAAGCTAGAAAGTGATACATATTAGCCTGTCAGATAAGCAAGGATAAAGATCAGGTTTGCTTTGGTTTGCCCCAGTGTGCCCAGAGCTGTAATAGTCCTGTACACAGCAGTAACTCAGAAGAAGAAAGATGCGTTCCCGCTGAAGCGTGTAGAAAAGGTTGTGTGGGAGAAGCAGTGGCATTCGACCTAGGACTTGAGAGAGGCAGGTGGTTTGGACATGAACTGAGGAGAGTGAAGGGGGTGGAGAAAAAGCATTCAGGGAAGAAGCATCAGCAGGAGCCAGGCACAGAGGAAAAGCAGGGACTGTCTAGCAGGGAGCTTGGACAAAGTTATGGAATCGCCTTTTGGCAGATCAAGCAAGGCCTGAACGCCAGAGTAAGGGATTTGGATTTTATTCCGAGGCGAGAGGGAGACTAGGCTCACATGAGCAGGGCTGTACTTAGGGAAGGTAAATCTGTCAGCAATTTTAATATGTATTGGAGTAAAGAAACGCTGGTAGGAGGTGGAGACTGTAGTTAGAAGGTAGTGTGACATTCCAGATAGAAGTAGCAAGGGCCTAACCCAACGTGACCGCGGAGAGGAAGCAACAGATCTGAAACATGTTCCCAGAAGAAGACAGTGCCTGTGATTCATCTGATGCAGGGGACCAATGAGAGAGAAAGAAATCAAAGATGGTATAAGGTTTTCTAACTTGAGTGGCGAGAGAATAGTAGTGTCAATAAAAGAAATCAAGCTGAGTGAAAATTGACTGATTTTGGCGGGGAGACTACTGTATGGTTTTGGTCATTCTGAGCTGGACGTCCAGGTATGAGCAAAGCATGGGAGGTGAGGGTTGGGGATTCTCCATCAGCATGGAAGTGATGGCTGCAGCCAGAGGATTACCCCAGGGAGAGCACAGAAGGGCAGTTCGGAGCCAGATCCATGCTGCCGCGATGCCTGGCCTCACGGTGCTTGTCACTGCATCTCGGTAACCAGGGTTTAGTGGTTAGACAATATTGGGGTTCATATGATAGAGGCTGTGTTTGGAACCCCTAAGTTTTGGTGTGCATGTGTGTGTGAGAGAGACTCCAATGATTGAGTGCTTTCCAAGTCTCCTAAGTAGTTTTCACAGTGGACGGAAGAGGGCAGCAGAGTCCCACATTTCACAGGCGATTCCGGCCGCAACTTCAAAAGAAAGGTTTTTTCTTTGTTTTTTGTTTCTCTCCCTGCATCTTTTTTGTTAATGAAATAGTATCCCCCTTTTAAAGTTGGAGAACACGATTTGTTTCCTAAGTTTCTATCTTTGGGTACAGCATGAGGATCTGAAGCTTTACTGTGGGGGAACCCATCTCCAAGCGGATTATGTCAACCTCTCGCCCGGAGGAGTTACGAACTCGTTTACCGGTGACGGAAGGTGTGGGTTAGACTTGCAATGGGGGATTTTTAGCCAGAGCATTAAGTCCATCCTGAAGACGATGTATTTTATTTAAAGAAGCAATTAGGCCCATCTTTTAAGATACATTTGGTATTACAGCTTAGCCGTGGTAAGCACAGCTACAGTCGTTCTGCTGCTATTGGCTGGGTTTCCCCAAGTCCGGTTGACCTGGGAGAAGGCTGAGCACCGAGGCCGCACTCACCATATAACCTGCTGCAGCACCTCTAGTCTTTCCCAATCTGTCATTTGACGCCTCGGCCTCCATCTACCGCCCGGACTGCCCGTAAGCAGGCGGCACAGACCAGAGGCTCCCCACGCCTGGGCCTCGTGCCTGGACGCGCGGTCTTCCACCCGGAGGTCGCCGCTGGGCCCGGCCCGGGCACTGCCCTCCGTGCAGAGCCGTGGGCTGGCGTCTCTAGGCTTTGGTCCACGGACCGGGGCCTGATCCACCGTGCACATGAGTGTGTCCCTAGCACCTGCTATGAAATAGGTGCGTGATCGTGTTTTGAGGGGATTATTATTGAAGAGGCACCAAAGCCTTTCAACTCGATGTCTTACGGGATTCTGACTAAATATTAAAAAAAACAAAATTTTTTTTTGTCCTTTTACTTGAACTTTTTCTCTTTCTCATTATTAGATATGTGTCCATGGGGATAAGTACAAAAGGCAATCTCTCGTGGGTTCCAGGAAGAAGGTGGGGGGCAGTGTGTAAATAACTGGGTGCTCGGTGCCAGTGGCTGAGTCAGGATGGGCCTGTGGCGGGGACTGGCACGGTGTCTTTGATACTGCCCTGGGCCCCCGTCCCACACACTGTGTTGCCATCCTTCGAGTGTGCTGTCTCCTTAAGCCTCCAGGCCTTTGCTCACACTGTTTTCTCCCTTTGGATGTCCTTCCTCCTTTCTGGTTCATGAACTTCTTCTTTCCTGCCCTACTTGTTCCTGCATAGCATTTATCACTTTCCATCAAGTGATGCAGTTTATCTGTTATGTCTGTGGCCTGGTCCCTTGTCTCCTGGTAGAATGTCAGCTCCATGCGAGCAGCGATCTCTGTTTGTTCACTCAGGTCCCAACCACCCAGAGTACTGCTTAGAACAGTAGCTATTCAATAAATATTTGTTATATGAACACATGGATCCTTGAAGATTCAATTCAAATGTCATGTCACCGCCTCCGTGAAGCCTCCCATGACTGACATCTACTCTCCATCCTGGATAAAGTGTGTTTATCTGTCCTCCATGTTACCATAGCATTTGTTTATATTTGTATTACAGCACCCCCCTGCACCATGGGACAGTTGCTTTACATTTCAGTATAAAAGATGGTAAAATAATGTAGCAGAAGATTAAATAGGAAGTTTTGATTGAGGCACCGAGATGCAATAAGCATGAAATTTCAAAGTTAAGTACCATCCAAAAACAGAAGTTTCCTTACTCTTCGGAAAACACCCACCCACAGTGGATGTTGAAGGATCAGAGAGGAGGTGGGAGGGTTGATGGGGAGGATTGCTTTGGAAAGAGCAGGCGGGGAGTCCTCACCCCCCAGGAGGAGCAGGGAGTGTGCTCTGGAGAGGAGCCCCAATAGGACTACACGGAGATATGTGTCCCTAGCAGTTGGGGACACACACGACACTGCTTTTTGAGTCTTGCCTAGAAATTATAAAAGACGGAGACTGGCTGGCCAGCAGCTCTGACAGCACAGTGTGGGGGGGAGGTCGGGAGTCCCTCTTAGAGCCGATGTGGGCCGAGTGGGAAACCGAGGCAGACTGGGGCCATTTGACATCCTTCCCGAGATTTCCGCCTGGAGGCTCCCCTCCAGGAGAGCCGCGAGAAACGAGGTGGTCGGCCAGGGAAAGGACATCACCTTTGTAAGGAGAGGAGTAGTCAAACGGTTCTAGGAAAAGCTGGGCGGGGGAGGCTTTGAAGAAATTGTTAGAAAGAGTCATCTTCAACACCCCAAAGCAAAGAAGGTCCCAAATGCAAGAAACTAGCCCCAAAGAGAATTAGTCAAAATCAGAATGGGGACTTTCTACCTCAT